ACTTGCTTTGTAGACCACACTGGCACAGTGATCTGCCTGCTTCTTCCTCCCGAGTGCTGGGATTAAAGGTGTGCCCCACCACGCCTGGCTAATTTGACTTCTTTTAAACTCACATTTAACTCTGACTTGCAGCTTAGAAGTTGCGCAACTCACAACTTGGAAATTATGGGAAACACAACCAATATCATCTAGAAACCAAATGCTGTGTGTGAGAATAAAGGAGGGCTCCTGTCACATGTAGGGAGAGGACCCTTGAGTATGTTAATCTCACCAATCTAGAATAAGACCACTACCACAGTTTAAAGCCAAATTTGAAGCAAGCTTTAATTAAATACTGGCCAGGTGGATGAGCTCTGGCCAGGTTCATACCCAGGTTCCTGGGAAATGGCCCAGAATCACAATTTGTAGCAGCTTAAGAAGGAAAACCCATAATTCATTGCATTTCCCATCAAGTCCAGTCAGGGGAAAGCATACATCCTGACATACCTCCAGCCTGTGACTCTTCTGCCCATATGTGACCAAGCACATCTGGTGCAGATGTGTCAAACAAACTTATTTAGGGGAATGAAAAACATGTAGCTTGTTATCTCCCATAAACAATAGCCTCCAGCATTTCAGGAACTATCTGTCCTTGAGCAAGGGGCTTGCAGATCAGAGGCATTTTTGTTTTCATGGATCTCTTAGGTAATTAAACCTTAAAATGTAACTTTGGCTCTGAAACCTCCTGGGAACTCACAGGAAGCACTAGGACTCTGACAGGTCGGCAGAGGCATCACTCACCATAAAATAGATCCCAGTTGATTATAACTTGGGACCAATCTTAGAGAATGCATGTGCGCCACAGGGAGTCAGGGCCTGTGTGTACAGGCCATGTGTTGGTTGTCCATCATTCACTGATGGACAGCCACACTGCACCCAGGACTTGAGTGCTGCGCATGGTTGTGTAGGTGTTTCTGTTCCTTCAGGAGTGGCAGTCCTTGGTGGGCTATGAAAGGGATAGATCTGCAGTGAGGTTTTCTTTTCTTTTTTTTCCCCCTCAAACCAAACCATTTATTGACAGCAAAAGTCTCCGTAGCTGTGAACCACGTGAGAGGTAGGTAGGACGTAGTGTGGGAACCAGCAGAGGGCTCCTTCCAGGGGGGCTGCCACCCTGGGAATGCTGGGAGCTCATGGCCATCCCCGGCAAGCAGAGCATAAATAATACTGGTGGGCAGGTGTGGGCAACAGGGATATCATAGGACAGCCACCTCGGAGAGCTATCAGGGACATGGGGACACAGGACACATGAGGCTATGGAGGCACACAGACACAAAGAGGGCAATGGATAACACAGGGCATGCCGAGGTGACACACAGAGAAATAGGGTTGCAATTCTGGGCTGTTCTGGAGACTACCCAGGAGGCTTCCTCCTCCACCACTTAGGCCCTGGGGTTTGCAGGCAAGACGCGCTGCGGCAGGACTAGGCAGCAGGTCACTTCTCCTCAGGGTCGAGTAGGGGACCCGGAGGGCAGCATCTGTAGATCTAAGGCTAAACTGTGTCTTCAGGGTCCTTGTCGTAGATATAGCTGCCCACAGCACCGGTATTCACTCCCTTGGGTCCAGAGAGAATTCCATAGCAGGGCTTGTGGCAGTAGGGCTGGCCATCACGCTCAGCACACCCTCTGGGGGTCAGCACGCCCTCCGGGGGTCAGCGTCTTGGAGCAGCGCTCACAGCGCAGGCAAGGCCCGTGCCAATCCTTGCCTAGAGAGGTCACCCTCTCAGCAAAGTACACCCTCTTGTTGCAGCGAGGACACATGTTGGGTTCCCCAGTGAATGTGGTAACACTAGAGGCTTTGCTGGGACCTTTGGGGGTCCGCTGGTCTTCCGCGCTTCAGTTCGCACCACAGGAACCTCGATGGGGCCAGTGACCTGAGGGCCCTCAGTCAGAGGCTTCTCATAGATGTAGGAACCAGCACCCCCTATATTCACGCCTTTGGGTCCAAACAGTGTGGCCCAGCAGGGCTTGTGGCAGAAAGGTTTCCCATCATGCTCAGCATGGCCCCCAGGGGTCAGGGTCTTGTTGCAGCGCTCACACTTGAGACAGAACTTGTGCCAGTCCTTGCCCAGGGAACTGACCTTCTTGGCGAAGTACACGGTCTTGTCACACTTGGGACACTTGGAGGCCATGGTCGGTGCGCTCAATCGGTCCTTCAGTGAGGTTTTCAAGAGAAGCTGCCAGCCCTAGCAGCTGCCCCCTACCCCATGCATTCCTCCACCCAGAAGATGGTTTCTGTGTGGTCCAATGAGGAAACTTTCTTCTTAGGGTATTTCTTTTAATTTTGAGACCTACATAATTAGCTCATTTGTGTCATGAGAAATACTAGTTTTAGCTTTCTGTTTGTTCTTTAATAAGATAACTATCTAAAATGAACAGTATTCATTATCCTTATTATTACTAATTTGAAATACTATGTGTTCATATACATATTATTAGGGAAGTTATGTCTTAATTTCACAGTAATTAAATACATTGCTTTCCTCTTTTATCTTTAGAGATAAAATAGGACAGCTGTTGATATAAGTATCTTAAAGATCTTGAGGAATTTTTAACAATATTAAATGCTTGAGAAGGGAGTGGAGTTCATGATGAATACCTGCTCTCATGGTGGACACTCAACCACAAAGTATATGCCGGTGTTTATTCAGGAAAAAAATATTATCCAAAGTTTACTATCAAATTTACAAGTGAATGGCATTAGCTCTTTTTCTCTTTATTATTAAATTTTTAAAATTTATCTTACATACCAACCTCCCTCCCTTCCTCCTGTTCTCTCCTCCCCACATCCTTTCTAGCCCCCTCATCCACTCCTCAGAAAGGATAAGTCCTCCTCTGGGAGTCAACAAAGCATGGCTTTGTTAAGTTGAGGGAGGACTAAGCTCCTCCCCCTGCATCAAGGCTGAGCAAGGTATCCCACCATAGGGAATAGGTTCCAAAAAGCCAGTTCATGCACCAGGGACAGATCCTGGTCCCACTGCTAGGGGCCCCACAAACAGACCAAGCTACACAACTGTCACCCACATGCAGGGGGCCTAGGTCGGTCCCATGCAGGCTCCCTATCTGTCGGTCTAGGGTCAGTGAGCTCCCATAAGCTGGGGTCAGCTGTCTCTGAGGGTTTCTTCATCATGATCTTGACCCTCCTGGGTCCTACAATCCTTCCTCCCTCTCTTCAACAGGATTCCCAGAGCTCAGCCCAGTGCTTGGCTGTGGATCTCTGCATTTGCTTCCATCAGTTACTGGATGAAGGTTCTATGATGACAATTAGGGTAGTCACCATTCTGATTACAGAAGGCTGGTTCAGGCACCCTTTCCACTATTGCTAGGAGTCTTAGCTGGGGTCCTTGTGGATTCCTGGGATTTTCCCTGGCACCAGGTTTCTCTCTAACACCATAATGCCCCCGTCTATCAAGATAATCTCTTTCAATGCTCTCCCTCTCTCCCTTTCTCTCCCTCCCCTAACTCGACCACCTGCTCAACTATGCTCATAGCAGCATTATTCGTAATAGCCAGAACCTGGAAACAACCCAGGTGCTCCTCAACTGAAGAGTGGATGAAGAAAATGTGCTACATTTACACAATGGAGTATTACTTAACAGTAAAAAAAACAATAACAACATGAAAATTGCAGGCAAATGGATGGACTAGGAAAAAAATCATCCTGAGTGAGGTAACCCAGACCCAGAAAGACAAACATGTAAGTGGATAGTAGATGTAAAGCAAAGGTTAACCAGGCTACAATCCACAGCCCTAGATAAACTAGGTAACAAGGAGGACCCTAAGAGGGACACATGGATTGCCCTGGGAAGGGGAAATAGATGAGTAAACTGAGGGTGGGGGAGGGGAACATGAAACATTAGCTCTAAAACAAACTCAAAGATATATCATAAATGTAAAACCAATCCATCTGTTCGAGTTCACACACTCATCCACATTGGCTGATACAGTAGAATGCATATCTTCAGTAAAACACACACACACACACACACACACACACACACAAATAACACTGAAATAATGTCTATGAGTCCATTCAGTGAGACTACTCAATGCTGGGGGTGGCTAGAATTCTTCACTAGTACATTATCCTTCCACTTAAATTCACTAGCAATTGTAGAAGTTTTACAACACACTTGACACAAGAGGAAATAGTAGTTGGCAGCACTTTCTGTAAGGCCTGGTAATCTTTAATGCACACAAAAGCTTAGGCACTAAAAGGAAGGGCCCAGAAACGGATACAGACCCCAGCCATGGCTGGGAAACCGTGGGGCCGATGATGCAAGTGGTGGTAAAAATCTCCTCCAGTGTTTCTCAGGCATTTACTACATGGTTCTTTGCTTCACAGATGAGAAAAACCAGTAGACTGTGTCATTGCTATCTTAAGAAGCCCCTGTCATCTTCCACATCCTCGGGTTCTTTCTTGAACACAGGCCAAGACCACTTAACATGCTTATTCTGGCTGGGCTGAGACAAATTCTCAACTTAATTCCCATCTCTCTAAATAATTACTGGTCAACAATTTTTTTCCCGTATTTACTGGACATTTGAACCCCACCTCTTGAAAACTGTATTCTCATATCTGTAGATATCACTTGACTTCTAGTTATTCATTTTATGTCTCCGTATATTCTCGACATTAATCCTGTCATGTTCAGCTAGCAAGGTTCTGTAGTGTCCTGCTCCACCGCGCTCCAAACACGCTCTCCCAGGGCGCCCAACCTGTAACGACCCTCCAGCCCTCAGTCTCTGCCTCAGGCTCTGCAAGAAGCCCCTTAGCACCAACTCCTGGAACCAGAGAACCCTCAGCCAGGCGCGAACCTCTCTCTAGGGCGCCTAGATAGAAGTACCCTTTATGGCAAGGGTGGCGCATGCGCAGTGGAGAGAGCCGTGGGTGGGCAAGAGCGACGGCGCCGTCCCGTGACGTCAACAGGAGGCGCGGGACGTGACGTCATCAGGCGGAGTCCCTGCCTGGCCGTGGTCCCTGAGCAACGCCTCTGGACCTGCTCCCCTTCCTCTCCGATCCTTTCCGCCGCTTTGCCCCCTGGAATGCTTCACCGAAGTCTGCTCAAGATCTGGAGAAGGGAAACAGCCTACAAATGAATGTATGTGAAAAGTAACTTCCAAGCACCTCACATCATGGTAATAGGAAAGCTCGCAGGCTCGTTTCTGCCATGGCAGGAGCATCCCTCACAAGGCTTCAGAAACAGGTTCCCCGTGCTCATCCTCCTTACGGTTCAGGAGGCTTGGTTCCCGGTCTTCAGTTTCCTTAACAGTAGCACGTGGTGGGACTCGTATTCGTTGGCAGGTCTCGTCCTTGCTGCTCGTTTCTAATCCCGAGGCTATCCGCAGATTCGTCGTCAGCTTGTCCCTTTTCTCACAGTGCTCAGGGCACCTTTACTACAGGTGCTGTGAGACTTCTGCGATGACTGTGGGAGTGTACTAAAATGGAAAGCTGTCACTGTGTGAGTGCAGATAAGAGTTCCCTGATCGCCACAACTGTGCCCTGCAGCAGCTGTTTCCACTGTCAGGCAGGAAGGGAGGAGCTGTCCTGCCTGTCGGGGGTGCAGGCCCATGGGGTACCAGACCAACTTGAGTTCACCCTGGGTGGGCAGTCCACACCTCTCTGCTCTGTCTTTTGTATATCACGTGTTCCTGTTCATCTCAGGAAGCAGTCGAAAGGGTCAGGAAGGTCTTGGAACACGAAGCCTGTTTCGATGAGATTCTGCATGAGTGCTTGTCCACACTCATGGCCTGGAGAATGATGTGGCTTCCAGTCTGTCCCAAGCTGTGGTCAACTGTAAGGAGTCACATGTGCCCTGAGTCCCTGTGGCCTGATGGGCTCCAGCCACCCTTTCATTTACTGGCACAGAGATGTGGCTTTGGGCCCATGACTGTTGAGCAAGGACAAAGCTCACACCCTGTCAGACTCAGGCGCCCTATCTCTGCGGATCCCTCTCATTTCATGGGGAGCACATGGGTGCCTCACTGTCTCTGGATGTACATCCACAGTCCCTCTTTGCAATGTCCCCACAGTCACACCAGGGTTCGTGATTCAGGTTTCTGTCCAAGGCCTCTAGCTCTCTGTGATGAAGCAGAACATCGTGGTGGCAGGTACGGTGAGCAGAGTGGCTCTTAAGGTGGTCAGGAAGCAGAGAGCAGAAAAGGGAAGGGACCAGGATCAAAACATACCCACACAAGTCACACCCTATTGACTTACTTCCAGCAAGTAGACCTACCTTTAATAGTTCTGCCACTTACCAATAACCATTAGAAATATCATCCTTAACAGGTGTATCTGGCGAGTGGCCCAGGGCCCACAGGCATCCCAGGAGCTATGAATGTAATCCAATACATATGTATATGAAGTCTATAACAATGTCAAAATGTGGACACCCCTGGAAAATACAAATTATTGTAGCTAAGGATGTCCTGTATATTGTGAATATATGTTGCTATGATTGATTGATAAATAAAACACTGATTGGCCAGTAGCCAGGCAGGAAGTATAGGATAGGTGGGACAAACAGAGGCTGGGAGGTGGGGGGCTGGACGGGACGGGACAGGACACCAGGCTGCCGTCCAGGGAGCATCATGTAAAGGCAGCAGGTAGTAAAGCCACGGAACATGTGGCGACATATAGATGAACAGAAATGGCCTGGATATAAGAGTAAGAGCTAGACAATGGTAGGCCTGAGCTAATGGCCAAGCAGTTTAAATAATATAAGCGTCTGTGTGTTTACTTTATAAGTGGGCTACAAGACTGCCACAGGGCTTGGCCGAACCCGGAGAGAAAAACTCCAGCTACAGATTATACCAGACACAGGTGTGTGAGTTTCTAAAATTCTTGGCATCTCTCAATCCTCACAGTGATGCAGTGATGCAGGCCATCAGGAGGCCCTGGGATCAGGTAGACAGAAAGGTCTTGAGTTCAAGTGCAGCCTGGGCTAGAGTGAGACTCTGATTCAAAAATATAACACTCAAGGGCTAGGGATGCAGCCCAGGGGTGTAGCAGGAATCTTAAATGGTCTTATTAATAAAATCAAACCTGAAGCCTGGTATTGGGGTCAATGCTGGAAGATCAGAGAACCAGAACAAGCCACAGACACCTCACCTTGCCAGTTCCTCAGCTGATCCTGTTTCCTCAGACTGGAAGCCTCTTAGTCCTCATCCAAATGGATCTCAGCTGAACTGTGCTGCTCAAAGCCTGAAAGCTTAACCAGCCCAGTTCCTCATCCTCATGCCTTAAATACCTTTCTGCTTTCTGCCCTCACTTCTTGGGATTAAAGGCGTGAGTCACCATGCCTGCCTGTGATAGGATTAAAGGTGTCAGTGCCACCATTTTCTAGCCTCTATGTCTAGTGGCTGTTCTGTTCTCTGACCCCAGATAAGTTTATTAGGGTGCACAATATTTTGGGGAACATAATATCACCACACAGGAGTAAAGTTATGCCTCCCATAGGCCAGGCCCTGGCATCAATCCCGTTACACATATCACCCCGCCCCTCTCCTCACACACAAGTGTAGGGGAGGGTGAGTGTAACAGTTACAGACACAGAGACTGTTTGGGGAGGAGGAGCAGAAGATAGACAAGACTGAGGAATCGAACACAAGCTATGGCCACTCACATAGCCATTGAGGGGCAATGCAGGCACTCACTAGGACCACTCATATCATCCCTGTGTGCCTCATTTCCTATGCCTTAGCCTGGGTGGGCTCCCCTCCACTTTGCTGGGGAGGCGGGTGTTTCCAGTCTGTATTCATCATGTATGCTCAGCACAGGCCCTGGAAGGTAAAACTGACCCTGGAGATCCAGCTCATCAGAGATAACTACCTGCTCAAAGAAGCCCTCCTTGTCCCCCAGGCCCCTCCAGCCTCACCTGGCTTGTTGTAATACATCCATGACCGCTACACCTTGTGGAAAGACATTGGGCTCAGAGCAGAAGGAGGCTCCGAAAATGGGACAGAAGGGGGACCGAAGAAAGGAATGTCAGAGCAGATCACCTGGGTGTTACGTCACCAACGTCAGATACTGTTCTCCAATCGGCACCCTCTCTCCAGAACCTATGTTCCTCTGGACTTTTCCCAGGATCCTGAGAGCAAATAACACCACAGCCTCACTGAGGCCACGCTTGGTTTTTGTTGCAACTTTACTTTTTCAGAACCTTCGTAGATATTCTACAACTAGAGCTGTTGGTGTGACAATCACATCAAGGACAAGAATCTACCTGTGACCCCCGAGCAATGACAGGCACACAGGGTGGGAAGAGAAGACACCACTCAGGTCTGGAGGGAGCGGGCTGTGGGATACAAAGATGGAGGCAGAGTGGCCGGAAGTGGCTCAGGGAGGAACTGGAGGAGGCTGGGAGGCTCCACACCAGGGTGAGCCCATCCATCTCTCCTCCTCCTCCCTCCACAGGCTGCTGCTCTGTACCCAGACCAGATTCCCAGGCACAGCTGGGCCTCCACCAGCAACACTCCCTTCTCTGCACCAGCTGGCCGTACCCCGAACTCCTCCAGGCTCTGATCTTCCGGGGTCTTCACTCGACTCGTGCTTGTCCACAACCTCTGCCCCACCCCCAACACTCAGCTTTTTCTACTGCCTCAGGTGACCAGTGTCTGAGGTCAGCCTGTCCCCATGGACGTGCCCTGAATTTTGGAGATAGCTTGAGGCCAGGCCTAAGATCTCAGCAGAGCCTTGGATAGGCTCTTGTCCCTCAGCTTCCCATTGTAAAAAGATCGGGCAGCAGCCCCCCACAGCCATGCTGAGCTAGAACAGCCACCATAAGTAGAGCATTGGCCCCAAACACCTGTCGCTTGGTCACTGTGAGATGCTGCAGCTGTTGGTACCAGCCATGGAAGCTGGGCTTCCAATGTGGTCATGTTGGTGGATGGATCAAAGTGGATCCAAATAGATCAAAAACATAGAAGCAGGAAGCTAGATGGTCAGGGGGCAGCATTGGGAGAAGGAACACAGCACCCCAGTGCCCAGATGAGGCTTTCCCAAGCTTTGTGTTCCATTGGTTCCCAGGAGTCACACACATGCACTGCACTCTGTTTTTGTGGACAGGACAGCAAGGTCTGGTCTACAGAGGTATCCCACAGGGCTGCTGCTGGATGCATTCTCATTCTTGTGACCTCAACCTTGATACACATGGGCTAGCCTGACCTGTAATTATCTGGAGGTGACAGCTGTCTCATCCTTTGCTGAAGACCACTTCCCCAGCAGAGAAACGTGAAGAGAAGGACAGACAAGCAAGGCAGAACAGGGAAAGGCTGTCTGACCTTCTACCAGGAGGGGCCCCACCTTGGCCCCAGGAAGCTCTGGGCATCCTTTTAGCTCAGTGTCCCACACTGAGTGCTGTGAAAGGCCAGAGAGGGGCCATATTTCCCATGACTAACTGGGACTTACCTTCAAAGACCTGCCTCAGTGTCCACACCTGCCCAAAGACAGGTGGGTTGTGCCCAGGGTTGTGCACATGAGCACACAGCAGCCTACACTTCCAGCCTGGCTCACTGCTGTGGTGGCCTCAGTCCTTGGCAGGCTGAACTCACCCCATGGTTCACCATCCTCGAGGCGGGAGGGCTGCCCCCTCGCCACTTAAAAGCAGACAAACATGAGAGAGAGCCCCTTTGAGACCCACAAAACTTACTCCTCACCATGTGATAGCTGCCTGAGCTGATGCCTTGGGTCTTGACCTCTGTCTCATCTACCAGCACTTCTTCTCCCGCCCCGGCCCTGGTTTCTACCCTCGGCTGTCCACATATACTCCAAGGTCTACATAAATAAGTTCTGTGGATTTGTCCTCTTGAGATGACAGACACATTAAACCACACGCCCCACGCAGGTGCACAATGATGTCAGTTGAAAAGCACAGTGCAGATGAGGTCAATGCACAAATACATCTCAGCGCCTCACCTCCTGGCTTTGGGGGTCTTGCCATTGCACTCTGATTGGCACCTCTTGGTTTCTGGAGACCTGAACTTTCCTCTGGACTGTCACGCAGCAGCACAGTTTTGCTACACAGCTCACCACTCTCCTCATCTCTCTCTTCCAGCCTGAGCAGTGTGTGTGGGTGCAGGCTACCATCCCACTGTTAGGCTGGTCACTGGACAAGGACACTGGTTCTGGCGATAGCTCCCCAGAGGATGAGCTGCTGTCTGTTGTTCGGGCACCCGTGGTGGTCAGGGTCCACAATTCCTTCCTGGGAAGTGAGTTGTTTTTTGGAAGTGTGTCCTGAGGGCCCACATGGCTCCCTGGCTCAGCACCGTAGCTACTCATGGAGTGGGTACAAAGGGCAGCGACAGCATCATGATGGCAGGCTGCCCTGAAATAAGAGATGGTCCTCTTCAGAAGGGAGCACTGGGGAGCAGCAGACATGATGGCCCTCTTGCCTCCCTCCATCCTTAAATGTTTCTCATCATGGTGAAGCTGACATTTACAGGGGAAGGTGTGAAGGGCAGGCTTGCTGGCTGTCTGGTTCAGGGGAAGAGGGAAGGTGGAAAGATCTGCTGGGGTCACACAAGGTGTAACACCTGGCTGCCCAGGCTTCACTTGGTTCTCCTGGCTATTCTCCCAGGGGCTCTTGTGTTGTAATATCAGATACGTAGCCATTGTTTCATTGAAGGTTTGTGCTTTTAAAGATTCCAGGACCTCGTAAGGGTCATACCCCAAATCAGCCATAATGGTTATGATAATGGGGTTTGGGAGACTGGGGAACTCCTCCAAGGAAAACTCAAGAGAAGGCACCTCACCTTGCGTGAGCCATGGGTGGTGCATGATGCAGTCTATAGTAGCCCTCTTGCTAGGGTCCAGGGTGAGTAACTGACCAATTACATTTAGGACATTTGCAGAAAGATAAGATGGGCTGTAGTATTTCGCACACAGGATCTTCTGCTTTATCCCGGGATTGGTAGGTGCTTGAAAAGGGAGGCACCCCATGGTCATAAAGTAGAGGAGGACTCCCAGGCTCCACATATCAGCTGCGGGTCCATCATAGTCTTTTCCCTGAAGAAGTTCTGGGGCACAAAATGGGAGGCTGCAGAAGAAAGAGTGCAGCTTCTGCCCAGGGCTCACCTGAACGCCCAACCCAAAGTCACTGAGTTTGACGTTGCCCTCGCCATCCACCAGTATATTTTCTGGCCTCAGGTCTCCATGCACGACACCTTTTGAATGACAGTAATGCACAGCGCTCCCAATCTGCTGGAAAATTCGATGGGCCTCCTCCTCCTGCAGATGTCCATCCTCCTGGATCTGGTCCAGCAGCCTTCCCCCGCTCGCATGCTCCATTACAAGGTAGGTGTTGACAGTGGTGTTGATGATCTGATAAAGCTGGATGATATTGGGATGACTGAGGGATTTCATGATATCAATTTCTGATGTGACAATAGAGGAGTTCCTTGGCAGGATTTTCAACGCCACCTGGGTCTGGGTGAGGAGGTGGCAGGCCAGCTTCACTTCACCAAAGCTGCTTTGGCAGATGGTGTTCAAGATCTTGTAATTATTTCTGAGGGACGCCTCATCGGAGGCTGTGACCTTGAGGTCCAACACCACCATTATCGTGCCAGTTAACTGTGCTAGGTTAAAAATTAAAATAATGGAAATCAGTTCTCAGAGGGAAACGTGACTCTAATTCCCACATTAGAAAGGCAGAATGGGCCATGCTCTTGCTACTTACTGCCCAGCCTGCCGTACCTGCTGTGTGCCCAGCAAACAAGTTGTCCTAAAATAAACACATCTCAAATAGACAATTTAATGATGCTCCTCAAGGCCACAGAAAACCAAAACAAACCAAGCGCTAAAGCAGTGGACTGAAAAAAAAAACAGAGCAGAAATGAAGGAAATTGGATATGAAAGAATATGAAAGCTTGTAGAGATCGAGAGTTAACTGAGAGCAGAGCTGAGCTGAAAGCCTGAACCCGGCTCCCAGAGAATGTGAATAAGAGACAAGAAAGGCTACAGTATTATAGCCGATACCACTGACATCCAGAGCATGAAGGAATATTTTCAAAACCCACGTTCCAGCGAACTGGAAAAATCTGGAAGAAAAGGCTAAGCTTCTAGACACACATGGCCCATCAACATCAAACCAAGAAGAGGAAAACACCATATTGAGTACAAGCAACAAGATCAAAGTAGTGATTAAATAACCTCCCAGCAAAGAAAAAAATCCAGGCCCAGGTGGATTCACTGAGGCTCTGAAGACCTTTTACAGAAGGACCATACCAACATCTAACCATTCCCTAAAGCAGAAATGGAAAGAGCTCACCCTACACAGCCAGGATGATCCTGACATCAAAGCTGGTTAGAGACACAAGCAAAGGGGAAATTATATCCAGGACAAATGTAGATGGGGAAAATCCTTTATAAGAATACTTAATACTCTACACCAAATTCAATGACACATTAAGAAGGCCATACTTCATGACCAAGATGAGTTCACCAAGGAACTCAAGGATAAGGATGTTGCAACATACACAAATTGTTCAGAGAGAGAGAGAGAGAGAGAGAGAGACAGAGACAGAGACAGAGACAGAGACAGAGACAGAGACAGAGACAGAGACAGACAGACAGAGACAGACAGACAGACATAGAGGAGAGAGGGAGGCAGTGGATTGAAGGACAAGAATGACACACCTAGCCATAAAGAATGACTGCCATTTTCAGGAAAATGGGTGGAACTAGAGCTCATGTGTTATGTGAGATCTTAATCTAAAACCTACACAGGGCCGGCCAGGGGGCTCAGGCAGTAAAGGTGCCCTCCACCGCCAAGCCTGACCTGAGTTCCATCCCTGGAACCCACAGTGGGAGGAGAAAACTGACTTCTAAAAGTTGTCCTCTACCTCCACATGTGTGCTGGGGTATATGCACAAACAGACACAAAAGGAAACAAGTGTGAAAAAGCAACCAAAAACCTCCAATACCTACCTATCTACTGAACCCTAAACTCCTAAGCCCAAACCAACAAACCCAGCAGATCACCAGTGTCAGATCCAACACATCACCAACATCCAAGACCACAACCCACCAGCCAACAGCTGTCCAAACTGTAAAACCCAGCTGCAGCCCATGCTTCTTATGGACAGGGACCTTGCATTGCTCACAATGGCTCCATGTGATGTCAGAGCAAGAAACAGACCAATCCCAGTCAGTCACACCCCACAGAGGGCACAGCCCACAGTGGGTTTCACACTTTTCCTTCACCCAGACTATATTAGGTTTCTCATCATTGTGAGCAAAGCCCTGAAACTTAGAGGAGGAAGGGATTCTTTGATCTCATCCTTTGAGGGAGGGGTGGAGACATGGTGGTAGGAGCCACTAGTACTGAAGGCAGAAGCTGTGGCTGCTTGAGGTGGCTAGTCGTACTATGTTCCATCCCCCACCCCAGTGACCATCCACTTCTCTGAGCTAGACTCCAGCTCTCCAGGGTTCTATAATGTCCCCAAGCACCACCTGATGGGGTCAACTGTTCAAACACAGAAGACATTTCAAATCCAACCCATCACAGAGACTTTCCCACCTACCTGTGTCTGCCAGAATGCCAGCCCCTCCAGAGAGGACGATGCCTCTGATGCATGGGGAGAGTGGGGGAGTGAGAAAACCCACAAGCACTTTGTGGGGGAGGTTTGCACTCACTGCTGGGTTGGAACATATTAACCTATTAACCAATTAACCAATCTGTTAGAAATTTAAGTCCTTTTATAGCAGGTTTAGAAGCCTTTTGTTAAAATGCATTCATTTCTCCTCTGGGTTCAACACATGGTGAAAAGAGAAGCCTGGCATTGCTGATGTTACTTTGTGTTTCCTTTTCTTGGAGTGGGCTGCTTCCAGGTGAGCACATTCATTACTCAAGGAAAGCTCAAAGCAGAGAGTTAAGTCATTATCTTGAACTTGCAGCTATTTTAGATTGTTATTTTATTATTTTTATAATAGTATATATTATATAATGTTATATTCTATACTATATAATAATATAATAAATAATTTTATTATCAGTGTGTGTGTGTGTGTGCGTGTGTGTGTGTATATCGTGGCTCAGGTGTAGAGGTAAGAATTGGTTCTCTCTACCCACTCTAAGTTCTTGGGACTGAACTAAAAAAAAGTGCTTTTGCATGCTGAGCCATGTTGCTGGCCACTGGTTTGCATTCTCAGGGGGCAGCAGAGCTCCAGAACTGTCTTCAGTGTCTGGGTTATCTTGGTTCAACTTGACTGGACCTGGAATCAAGTAAGAGACTTGCCTCTGGGAAAGTCTCTGAGGGTATTTCCCAAAATGGTTAACTGAGTGGGGAGAGCCCACCCCCAAAGCATGTGGCACCTTCAGGTGGTGGCCCAGACACTAGATGCCTGAAGGAAATCTGTTGCTTCTTGCCTGCCCTTTGCCCCTCTGCTGCTGCCTCTGCCATCCTCTTCTGACCGAGCTCAGCTTCTACGGCCTTCCAGCATGGACTGACTGCCAGTGGCTCTCTAGGATTCCTCCAGGCCTTAAGGACCAGGCTGGGACTGCTCAGGCACCCAGTGTTGAGGACTAAGCAGCTACCGAATTCCCAGACTCTCCAGCATGTGGACCGCCATTGTGGGAGTATCCATCAGTTGCCATGCAAGCCAGTCTAACACATGTCCTTTGCAATATACAACCGTTCTACCATGCTGTTCCTCTAGAGAACCCTGAGTAACACTCTCAGGGCAAGGCCATGCCCTGGAGCAGGCACAGTTGAAGCATGCACATTTTGGCCCAGGAATAAGTTCAGCCATGATCCCACTAGGATGAGAGAGGGTCATTTATGCCATTGGCCCATCGGCCATGGGTAACATGAAGTCAGAGAAGGAATGAGAGAGAAAGGGATGGGTTGGATGTGGTAACCCAAGAATATCAAGGGCTCCCAGAGGGGCTTACCTTTCATTTCCAAGAGAAAAGGGGAGAGGAAGGAAGGAGTAGGTTTCCTGGTGAGATGGGAGCTTGTTAAGGAAGAGGAAAAGAGAGACTAGAGAGAGAAGTCTGGCCTCCTGGCTGGCTCACCAGATATGCTGCCAGAGTAGGACTCAAGGTTGTCCCATGAAATTCAGGTCCCTTGTATCTCTAAAGAATTGAGCAAGACACAGAACAGTAACAGTGAAAGTGTTGATTTATTAAAAGAAAGTAAAGGCTGGAGAGGTGGCTCATTCACTGACGCATTTGCCACACAAGCATGAGAACCAGAACTCACGTAGTAAGTACTGTAACCCAAGGCTGGGACATTACGGTATCTAGATAGGCTTAGAGGCCGTTGAAGAGGGACTCCACCCTTACCCTCTGTTTTGGACTCAACCCTGTGTTTCCTTGGTAATACTAGAAGGGAAGCATCACAATTGCCCCTCCTGGCTGGAGAGATGGCTCAGAGGCACTGGCTGTTCTTCCAGAGGTCCTGAGTTCAACTCCCAGCAACCACATGGTGGTTCACAACCATCTACAATGAGATCTGGTGCCCTCTTCTGGCCTGCAGGCTGAACACTCACTGTATACATAATAAATAAATAAATAAATAAATAAATAAATAAATAAATAAATAAATAAATAAATAAATCTTTTTTAAAAAACCCAAAAAACAATTGCCCCTCCTTAGGCCTTAAAATGACATGCATAAAAGTGGAGGTAGGGCTGAAGGGATGGCTCAGAGGTTAAGAGCACTAGCTGCTCTTCCAGAGGCCCTGAGTTCAATTCCTGTAACCACATGGTGGCTCACAACCATCTGTAATGAAATCTGGTGCCCTCTTCTGGCCTGTAGGGATACAGGCAGAGAGAACACTGTATACATAATAAGTAAATAGAAGTGGAGGTATAAGGGCTTTGTTGAGGCCCATCAAGAGAAGGCTACTTTGTCCAGGGCAAAAGAATACATTTTGAGTTCTACCCCTGGCCAAGAGGAGACAAGACAGTCTAAGTTTCACAAAACATTACATACTATTGTCCCTCCCTTAAGAGTTAATTCAAGTGTGCTGTGGAACAATCCTTTTCTACACTATGAATATGTATTACTCTCACTGGGTAATTAAAAACTGACAGGCCGGTACCTAGGCAAGAAAGCCAAACTAAGAATGATGGGAAGAAGGAGGGCAGAGTCACAAGAGATGCCAGCCAGCTGCTCAGGAAGCAAGACATGCTAGAGGCTGGGTAAAGCCATGAGCCGCGTGACAAAACCCATAGAAATGGGTTAATTTAAATGTCAGAACTAATTAGTAATAAGCCTGAGCTATTGGCTAAGCATTTGTAATTAATATAAGCCTTTGTGTGATTATTTGAGACTGGGTGGTCAAGACAGGAAATGTCTGTTTACATATGGTGTTCAACGTGGAGCCAAAATTTCCACCTAAAACCTGACAAAGCTTTAAAAAGAATTCTAGACACACAAAACCAGAGATGAGCACAGCTTCTTGGTAGCTGCCTTTATCTTTGGTGAGCTCTGTTTGCTGGCGGTGAGCAGAGGAATAGCTCCTTTAAGAGACGGCTTTCTGGCTCGGTGCTAGCAGCAAAAATGGGCAGCTCTTTTAAGAGGTCCTACTACCAAACATTTATATGGTGTTTATGAGCAGCCAGTGGCACAGCTATTCGGTGGTGGTATAGACCTGGGAACTTTTCAGAGTTGGGATGGTAAACATGGCTCCCAGAGCTGGTGGTCAACGTGCCTCCACCGTGAGACTAAACTCTCAGAGAACCAAGGGAGAAGAGCCAGCGCCAGCTCACCATGATCAAAGTTACACAGTGGGTTTTCTTGCTCATGTAGACAGAAAAGGTTACAGATACACAGTAAGAACAGATTCAGACAAAAGAGCCTATAAACAGGTCACAATATATTTTTAAAAAAATGTGCATAGGCTTGGGAGAGGAAAAAAATATGTTTTTTTTTTTTCAAGACAGGGTTTCTCTGTGTAGTTTTGGTGCCTGTCCTAGATCTCGCTCTGTAGACCAGGCTGTCCTTGAACTCACAGAGATCCACCTGGCTCTGCCTCCCGAGTGCTTGGATTAAAGGCGTGCACCACTACTGCCCGGCAAAATATAGTTTTAAAATAGTAAAATTCTTAAAAAACAAAAAAGGAATAGAGTAATAGAAAATATAATAAGCCACACATAAAGATGGAAAATACACAGAGTCTGGATGCTGTATGTTATTGTGTTGTTTTCAATTTTTTTTGACTACTAATGAACAAATGATAAGTGCTAAGAGACATTTGATTATGAAAGCTGCTAGATTAAACCAACCTATATCTTTTAAAATATCTTGACTTCAAAATTTAAGTTAGAAGATATGTTTCTTTGAGAAAGAGGTTCTGCTTTTATTTCCACAGGAAATGAGAGACTCTGGATTCATTCTGGGTTAAGAAAAATCAGGTTTGATTGAGAAAGACCCCTGAAAAATCTACAATGGGAATGGATGTCCCAGATGATCCAACATTTAAGAGTGACTCTGTTGCAGTTTCTTCTGAGTTCTGCATCCAGAACAGCTTCAGGGCTGCTAGCTAAGATGATCCAACCTCACAGAATCCTCCAGTCAGGACTTGACCATAATCCTAAATTTTATTAGGGTCCCCCAAAGAATGCCAGTGTCCCCAATCAGCAATCATCTAGAGAACTATGCCCACATTCCCAAAAATAAATTATGAATTTTTGTCATCATTTAGAGGGGTTGTTATAAGTTGTTATTGGTAATGGTCAGGAAAAAAAGCTGAACAAAGGGATCTCATTCTAAAAATAAAAAGGTGGATATAGAAATAAGATAAAAGGGTAGATTATTGAATCTATTTTTAAACAAAAAAAAAGCCAACTACTAGTCTCAAATACTTTATATTGGTATGGATTTTTGTATATTGATACAAATTTGAGGTTATTTTTGTTATGCTGCATGTACGTTTCTACTCTTGTTTGGGAAATTGTGCTTAAGCATCTCATTTAAAAATACAATATATAGTTAAAATACAAGTTAATAATTAGTCATCTATAATAGTCACATATATCTATCAAACTTATAGTTAGGTTAGTTAGGTGTTCTAGGTATACAGAGAAATATTTCAGCTATATAGATAATCTTCAAACACTTCAAAGACCTACAGAATATGGCATTTAAAATGTCTTAATAACAGACCTTTTATGTCAGTGAGACATGTCTGCTGCTGGCAGCACCAATATACTTCAGAGAAGATTATGGGCATTGAAGAAACTTCATATGGAGTTTGTTTACTTTATGGCAAAAGCTAGCCATGTGGGCAAAAAAACTGTCCCTGCTTCAACTGCTGACAGTTACTGTCCAAACTGGACCAGCAGGACACTGAACTTTGCCAAGACAAGTTAGGATAGTCCTTCAGAGTTCCCTGCTTTACAGGAAAGTCTGTCAGATATGCTAGGCCTGTAGTCCAGAGTTGGATGCCCCAACATTACAGAGGAAACTTGGGTGACTGTCCAGGCAGCCTGATGTCCCTGTCATTGGTAACATTTCATTCTTCTGGGGTCTTTAATGGAGTTGTTATATATAATAGTTATAATTATAGTTTTCCTTAGTTATAATAGAAAGTAAATTAGATACAAAACTTTAGACTCACCAAGATAGATAATCAAGTATTTTCTCTAATTTTGCCAAATGCATATGGGCTGGATATTGTTATCTTAATTCTTACTTAACAACTTTGTTATATAGTTTTACTATATTAAGGTTAAAACCTTCCTTTTTAATTAGACAAAAGGGGGGAAATGCTGTGGAACAATACTTTTCTACACTATGAATATGTATTACTCTCATTGGTTAATAAAAAGCTGACAGGCCAGTAGCTGGGCAGGAAGTTAGGTGGGAAAGCCAAACTGAGAATGATGGGAAGAAAGAGGGCAGAGTCATGAGAGATGCCAACCAGTAGTCCAGGAAACAAGACATTCTAGAGGACAGGTAAAGCCACAAGTCATGTAGCAATACATAGAAATTAATTTAATAGAAGATTAATAGAAATGGGTTAATTTAAATGTAAGAGCTGGTTAGCAATAATCCTGAGCTATTGGCCAAGCATTTGTAATATAAGCCTCTGTGTGATTATTTGGGTCCAGGCAGTTGGAACAGGAAACGTCCATTTACACAAATGGACCTGTCAATCACCCTGGCAGGGCCACTCCCCAGGAACACAGATTTACCTGAAGACATGCTCAGATGGGAGGAATAATTATCCTTTTATGAGAAAATGTACTTATATATCCCCCATGTAGTTGTTCACAGATCTTCACTGCTAAGCCTGCCTGCAAGCATAATTCTTTCTTCTTCTTATATCTCTTTTTCAGATACCAGCCAAAAGCTTAAGTATGTGTTTCCTGTTGTCCTGGGCTTTTCCCCTTTCTCTAGATGTTCCCTCCTGCTTCCTACAGCAGCTTGCTGATTTCCATGCTTGATAAAAAAAAAAAGCATGACTTTCTCTGTTCTCAGTCTCCCGCCTTCTGGTGGCTGCCGGGATTTTCAGCTTGCCTGCCCTGTTGTTTTTCTCTCAAAATCTAATAAAATGGTCCTGAAGCTATCTTCTGAGTTCATTGTTAAATGTTCTCATCAAAGAGACAAAGAATCCACAAAAGGAAACCTTGATAACCTCATGATAGGGAGGTGGAGACAGCTCTCTGGGGCCTGCTGGGTAGCCAGGCTAGCTCTAATGTGCAACCACCAGGCCAATAGGAGACCTTGTTTGTTTCAAAAACCAGAGTGTTGGCACCTGAGGGAAGATGATACCTGATGCTGTCCTCTGAACTCTCCTCTCATATACAGAGAGGGAGAGAGACTAGAAAGTAGAATACTGGTGGGAGTGCAGCAAGCATGTGGCTCAAAGGGTTGTTTCTGGGTCAGGGTCCTTATTACTCAAGGGAAGGGAACTTCCAGGAGGGTACAACATTCTCAAGCTTTCAGATGGGACTGGTTTTCTTTGATAGGTGAAGGGTTGTACAGTCCTGGAGTTGGTCCCGGGCAGCTCTCAGTTTTTATTTATGGTTTTCTTGCTGGGTCCCAGAGTTAACCTTATGACTCACTGACTTAGGGAGGCTGACCATTCCTTCATGCCTCACCGTGGCATCTACATATTGTGTATTCCGGTAGACTGGCAGCATGGTAAGAAGGCACTCTCCTTGTGACTAGGGACTGGAGGCTGAAACATCAAGGTTAACCTCTGAAAGAAGCCAGTTTGCAGAGGAAGAGTGAAGGGCCTTCTTTACCCAGGCTTCATCTAATGAACAGAACATGATCGAGCAAAGCCCAGGAAAAACAAATGGGCAAGGTGGTTTTGTAAATGTATAGAAGGCCTTGCCTCTGGAGAACCAACACTTTTTGGGCTTCCCCGTCAGTTTACTAGCCCACTATTATCCTGGAAAGTTCCATTTTCTTAATAAACTGTCTCTATTTCTGTTCCTAACCCTGTGTCCCTAGTAAAATCTTTTATTCTGCAACATGACTCAGGAGCCTGGGATGGGGTGCCTCTGAACTCAACTTGCAGGTCTGAACTGGGCATGCTTTCCCTTTTCTCTTTTTCAGATACCAGCCAAGAAACTGCATACTTCCCCCACCATTCTAGGCTCCCTCTGATTCTCTGACCCCACATCTGACTTAAAAGGCCTGGCCTTTTCTGTACCTCTACTCCTCCTGGTAGCTGTCAAGATTTTCCACTTGCTCCTCCTGCTGTTTTCTCTCAAGCTTTAATAAAATTGTCTGGGGGATTCCTTCCAGTTCCATTTTAAAATATTTTATTAATGAGAGGTCCAAAAAGAGACCTCTGCTTCCCTGGTAACACTACTACTATATTTCCTGAAAAACCCCTTCAAACCACACTTACTGGAACAAGCCTTGAGGGCTTCACTCTCTCCTACCTGTTAGCAGGCACTGGACACCAGCCATAAATAATAGCACAACACACCTTCCTGCACGAGTCTCCCTCCCTTGATGACTTCCTGACACCAAAGTATAGGAACTGTTGTGTGATATTTTGATCATGTCTGACAAATAAAGCTTGCTTGGAGTCAGAGGGCAGAGCTAGCCACTAGCCAACCAAAATTAATCACAGAGGTTTTGGAGGACTGTAGACAGATAGGACAGGAAGTAGTAATGTGGGGCAGAGAGAGATCTCGCACCTTTTGGAGGAAGGAACGGAGCAGGTAGGAGAGGACTGGTGGCTTCTCTGCTTCTCTGATCCTTCGGATTCTTACCCGATATCTGACTCCTGAACATTTATTGATAAAGAATAATTAGAACAATGCTTCAAGGAACAGTTTTGAGTTCCCTAAATGAATCCCCAGGGTGTTTCGGGATATTTGATCACACTCTGTGTCTCTATCCTGGTTTGCCTAAGGCACCTTGTGATTGGTTTAATCAAGAGCTGAACACCCGATAGTTAGGCAGGAAAGGATAGGCAGGTCTTCCAGGTAGAGACAGGAACTCTGGGAAGAATCTGAGGTGGAGGATTTGCCAGAAAGATGTGGAGGAAGTCAGACTTACGGTATTGAGAAGAGGTAGTAAGTCACATGGCAGAACATAGATTAATATAATTTTATAATTTTAACTTTATAATTATATTTATATTAAATTATAATTTAATTATATAATTAATAATAAAATTAATTTATTTAAGAGCTAGTTGGGAACAAGCCTAAGCTAAGGTCAAACTTTCATACTTAATAAGAAGTCTCTGTGTCATTATTTGGGAGCTGGTGGTCCAAAGAAAGATCTACACCATACTGCATTCCTACAGCATGAACCACAGACCTGAGCAGCCCAGCACTATGACCTCCAGAGAGGTGGGTCTTTCAGATCAGCACTGCCCTGGCAGTATCTGGGGATCTGATGCCAATTAATACTCTCACCACGGGTCAGTGAGATGGCTCAGCAGATGACAAGTGCCTGCTGCCAAGTCAGACTACACAGTTCTACCCCTGGAACCAATTCCCCAAGGCTGTCCTCTGACCTCCATAGGCACCTCTGACCCCCACCCCACCTGATGAATAACTTGTCTTTAGATTATTTTTAATTATGTGGGAGTGTATGCCATATGTGTACAGGTGCCCGTGGGAGGCAAAAACATTAGATTCCCTGGAGCTGGAGTTATAGGCAGTTGTGAACCACTAGACTTAAGTATGGGAACCAAACGTGGGTCCTCTGCAAGAGCAATGCCTGCCCTTAATTCCTAAGCCATCCCTCTAGCCCACAGAAATAATTTCTAGTTCACAAATGTATTACGTTCTTAAAAACAAATGAACAAAACTCTCTGGGGGCTGGAGAGATGGCTTAGAGGTTAAGAGCACTTGCTATTCTTCCAAAGAGTTCAGTTCTCACGGAACTGACTATACTCTGTAATCCTCCACCACTTCCTTCCTTGTTGGCCTGACTTTGCTGAGGACCATATAAAACGTTACCTGCTTTTGGGGATCACGCCAAACTGCCTCTTCTGAGACTTATTTTTCTGGTCATGTCTGCCTTGCTTCATTTCCCACTTTCCTACCAAATCTCTTTATCCTGGATAACCTCTCCCCTTTAAGATCTTTTAGTAGTCAACAGGCAAAAAAAAAAAAAAAAAAAAAAAATCCACCGCCAAGATGAAAGTCCAGAGTTCTGGCTCCCACATGCGAGGACCTCAAGTATCTCTGGACTCAGAAGGAAAGCATAGCTAATGTCTGGAATGGCCTGTAAGCTGTCCCTACAGTCCAGAGGACAGTTGGGAAGACTCCTCGATTCGGGTGAGAGGTCTTTTCAGGCGGAAGTGGAGGCAGGTGGAGGCCATCTGGCAGATTTTCCCAGTTAGTACCTCAAAGCTGCCAGGCGGTGTCTCTGAAGATGATGTCACCCCCGATAGCTTCAGCAGGTGAAGCTGCAAGAAAGGCAGCTCACAGCCAGGGATTCCAACCATAAAACTGGGAAAGATCTGGCATGGCTTAGACTTTTGTAGTTGCATAATGTAGGAAATCCCAAGAATCCAGGATCAAGTCAAAATTGCAAATAAATAATAAAAATCGAAAGGCAGTAAGCCAGGATATTCATGCACTGTAGTTTTCTTCTCTCTTGTTTCCCCATTTGTAAAATCTTGAGTACAGTATAGTAAGAATGGTCACTAGCCACACAGGCTTTAAGTTTATTTTTTTCAAGACTTACTCCCACCACCACCACCACCTTGGGGTGTATCGGCACATACCTTTAATCCTAGCACTCAGGAGGCAGAGGCAGTTCTTCATAAATTCCAGGCCAGCCTGGTCTACATAGAGGGTTCCAGGACAGACCCTGTCTCAGAAGAAAAAAAGAAAGAAAGAAAGAAATTTATGACCTAATTTTAATTATGTGTATATGTGTGTGAGTGTATGCCATGTTGTGCAGTTGCTCACTGAGGCGGGAAGAGGATGTCAGATCTCCTGGAGCTGGACCTGAAGTTACAAGTGATTTCCAGCTGCCTCTCATGGGTGCTGAGAACCAAACTCAAGTCCTCTGCAAGAGCGGTATATATTTTAACCACTGAGCATCTCTCCTGCCCCCACCTAGGCTTAAAAAAAAAATCTGTCTTAAAGTTGACGTGTAGTGTGGGATGACTCATCCCTAACGGGCTTGAGAGCCAGACTGCCCAAACAAGTAAAAAAGATACTTTCTGAGAGCCAGCCTGGGTCTGCCTGATGGTCTTAGCAACAGCAGCCTAAACATGATCTGGAGATGACCTGGACCAATGAGAGACAGCCATGTCACACCAGTTGATGCATATTCATCAGACCTTCCCCCAGGGTCGGGTGGAGGGTTTATAAGGCTTGCCTCTTCCTGAATAAACTGAGCTTGTTGTTTCGACATTCTCCCGGAGTCTGTGTGGTTTGACTCTGCGCCTACTTGGCTCCCACCCCCAAAGGGAACAACAACAAGGACCCTGCTACAGTGTAGAAACTTGGGTGAGTTTTCTGAGGCTCTCATGACAGGAGACTCCTATGGGCTGTTGGGACGTGTCAATTTTTACAAGACCTAGAACCCCGATATAAGGAACAAAGCCAGTTTTCCAGGGCCACCTACTGACCTGTTTTCTTTAAAGCTTTCTGCTTACATTAGATAAGACATTCCAGTTTGTGGTTTGAATGTGAAATGTCCCCATAGGCTCATGGGTTTGAACTTTGGTTACCAGCCAATGGTGCTATTTTATAAGGCTGTAGTTCCCTAGGAGGTAGAGTGTAGATGTAACCAATCGTCTTATTAAAATAAGATGCACAGAGCCAATGTAAAAGAGAAAGCCGAGAGGTCAGAGCTCAGAGATAAAATCTTACCTCCTGCAGTGCTCCTAACTTCCCTGAGAGAGAGCTACTTCCTGTTTGTCTGTGTTTAAATAGTCTTTCTGTTCTGCCTTCTCATTGGTTGTAAACCCAACCACATGACTGCCTCATCACTGCCTGTAAGTACCGCCCTCCAGGTCTTAAAGGCGTATGTCTCCAATACTGGCTGTATCCCTGAACACACAGAAATCTACCTAGCTCTTCTAACCACCATGCTCTTGCTATGGCTCTAATAGCTCTGACC